TAATGAATAAGTATTTTTCGCTTTTAATATTTTACTTCAAAGGTGATTTTAATTAAAAATTTCTCAAATTAGTTTCACATATTAGTAAGTTTCCATTGATCAATTGTTATAGTATATTATAATACCACGTATTGTAATATTTGTACTTAAACATGAATCACGATCTTATGTCAAGTAATGTAAAATATGTTGTTAAGAGTAAGGTTTTGCTCAAATACAAATAAAGTATTTATGGAGCTGTAAAACTGATTAGAAAAACTTATCCTTATAAAAATGAACTATCATGAACGAATCAACGTCTTATTGTTACAAAATTAGAAAAGAGATGTGCCAAGATCAATTACTCAGAACAAAAGATGGTTTATATTAATTGACGTATATCTCATATGTCTGTTCTAGATACTTCCAACGCTGTGATATTTTAAAATCTTTTGCTCGTCATATTACTTCGCCCGTATCGATTTTCTTATTGAAGCTTGAAGATGAAATTCAACTAATAAACTGTTGTCGGTATTTCCTAAGGCATATACACATAAGAAAGTACATATCTGTCATGTTAAATATTTTTTGAAAAAAGATAATAATTATGAAGAGTACATTAATTATACGTATTGTAAGAATAACAAATTATAAGAAGGTGTTCCAAATGGTATTTATTTTTATAAACATTCGTAAAAAATTTTTAAATAGTGTTACATAATTTTTGAAACTATTATTATTATGTCTTTGCATAAACCAGTGTATACATTATACATGTTACAATATTTATCTTTTCATTTAATTTAAATTTATAGAATTTTTGTACTTTTCAGATTTATTATCAAGAAAAGTAATAAAATTGGAAACAATAAAGTCATAAATTGAGCATCGTTCAATAATCATAGTTTCGTCTTTTGCGGAAATGCAGTAGAATCGTTTTTCAAATTCACCAAAGGTTTGATTTTCAAATTCTTGCTACCGTAACATTTCTTCATACTTTTTGCCCGTGTGATTTAATTAATCCTTTTAAGCTGTGATCAAAGAAACGATGTCATTTAGTGAAATTTTCACCCTATTACCTTTTAAGGCTGCCAATTACTTTGTTATAACAAATAAGAAGTAAAAAGAGAAAATGAAAATTGTTAGCTTATGTCTCTGATATTGACACACTAAAGTGTCGGAAACGATTCTCATACTACAATTTTAGTACATTAATTAATATTCCAATAAGAGGATATTTACATACTATCCCTATCAAATCTCAAAGTAATTTACAAAATCTTTTCATTTTAAGTAATTTACAAATTACAATAGAGACAATGGAAAAGAACATTGAACCTATAAATGCGTTGATAACTGGATGAGTTAATGTTCTGTAAAATAATCGGAACATACAGAAGTTGTTATTACGTAATTTGATCTCCATTTGTCAAACATACTGAAAGCAATCAATTTCTGTATTGTATTATGAGGTATGATAAGAATGTTAATTACATTTTCGATAATCATCACTGTTCAACGCAATCACTAACCTACAATACAAAGCAGTTTTCTAAATCAAAGTTATATTATAAGCAAATCATGATGACAGATTAATCCTTTGAGGACGAATATTTTTAAAGTAGCTTTAAAATTTGTTCCATATAAAGTTAAGTTGCGCACTGAATACTTAATAAGAAAAATTGAAAACTATGTATTACTCTGTTAAAATAATTACATTATTTATTTACAACTTTCAGTTCTAGATACGAAAACCTGATGTCGCTGATAATATTTGTCTTTGAACCCTTAATCCATCAGCATTTAGAGTAATTCACTACGAATTCCTAAATATAGACGAAAATGCCATGCTATCAATAATTTATTCAGAAGAAGCAATACATTAACAGTTGCGTGTTGGACAACCAATTTTAGTGAATTGAAAGTGTTTGATTCTTTAATACGATAAAGCCCACCCACGCGGAACACATTTAGCTGTTCTTAAACTGAACTCATTGAGCCATGAATCGTTGTTTTACCCTCTGTATTTATCAGATCTGTCGTCGGCAAACTGTTGTTTTATTAAGCATTTATTCGATCATATACTACAGAAAGTTTTTCATAGCTAAGCAGACGCGTGACGAAGTTACAAATAGTTTTGGGAGTTTTTAACTCTTTGAACTTTATGCTTTTGTATCAATATGTATAATAGAAAAACTTGTATCACGATGGAGAAAGTATACATATTATGATGTTTCGTGTTTCTAGTAAATAAACAAAGTAAATAAATAACTTTAAACTTCATGTGGGAAAATCGTAACTTGTTTTTGGGAGGGAGATTGAGAGAGAGAAAGATTGCCATTGCAATTTCTTCGCGAATAGACACTCGGAGACATTCATTTTACACGGGTCAAATTATTGGTAATATTTCATTAACTGTCACGTTTAGAACATATGAAGGTCAATACTTTTACATTCAGAATTTAATACTCTAACGATCTACGATAAAAAAGTGGGTCATTTCATTAAAAAAATCAAGGTGACCTTGAGATCTCTAAAAAAATTACATAAAACCAGACATTTTTTTGGTTCCATATGTGCCCCACTGAACCATTCAACTTTGTCCTGAGAACATTTGACGTACCTTTAAAAACAACAAAGATATTTGAGGTGGGAACGTTAGATAACTCACCTTATATATGTTATATGGACATTTGGAACGAACCGGATATTTCTAATTTCTCTTTTCTTGCTTATAAATCAAAGATTTTTAACTTTTCAAATAATTTTTTGTTGACATTGAATCTGAATGTCTATTAATGAGAAATTTATGAAAAAATATGTTGATTCTAAGTTTTAATTATTAGTTTTTAGCTGTTAAATTTGAACTGATCAGATTCGCCTTGATCTGCCCTACCTTAAATTTTATGACTTCATGAAGGGGATACGTTGCAAAGAAGTGTGTGTGTATACAAGAAGACCTAACCAAGCCCTTTAAGGGTAATTGGTATACGTTGAAAGCCGATACTAGTTTTAATAGCGCGTCAGCAGAGAAGCAGAGGAAAGCCGGTGATGAAATTCCCATAAACGGAGAATGTAGTTACAACATCCTTACTTTTTCTTGGTATTTTCATGATGAAGAAGGTCTTCTTTATGACCCTTAGATAATAGATTAAGTTAACTGTCGCAAATACCTCATTCCTCGTTTTAAAGTAGTTTGCAACACGTTGAAAGCTCCACTATGTGGAAATGTGAAAAATGTGATTCTCACTTGTATTTATCATACTTGTTGTAATTTGCGATGTGTTTTCTGTTTTATTATACTGCATGTCTTTCACTGTCTTCTCTGCGATTTAGCCAATATTCCTTATAAATGAGGTGCGTAGTACTACGAAAATAACGATCGTTCACGGTTAATTTACTCCTTCTGTCCTATGCTTTTCTTAGAAACTGTTACTTCGATTAGTCAATGCTGTTACGCGAAAATTGTATCCAGTAGAGAACGAAAGTTGATCATAGAACAAAAGAAATTTCCTAAAATTATTATATTATATAAGTAATTTTACTTCAATAAATATTGTATAATATTTATACCAATATCAAATATAAATAAATATGTAAAAGGAAAGTTCCAGTTCCGTACATTATTTTGAATTAAAAATATTTAAATTTCTTTATTTGATTTCTTACAAAGTAGTAAAACAATTAGGTATTATAAATCTCTAGATGAGTCATTTCTTCACCGATTTCAATCACCTTGTAATGTATCGTCAGTCACCATTCTAAACAATTTCGTTCTATACAAACAGTAGGTGGTCCTTTTTAACAATAATTATATTAGAAAGAAAAATTGTACTGATAAAATTGATCAGCAACTTAAAATATAATTAAAATAATTTACGACAACAGAAATTTTGAAGCAATTTTAATAGCTTTGTTATATTACAGGTATTTGCATAAAATCATTAACAAAAGAATTCAGAAGATTACTCCAACAAGGTGTCTTCTTCATCGGAAGGTCCAGTTTAAGATTTTTACTGATCTACAGTATAAATACATGTATAAAATTATTACGATTGAATTTTAAAATCGTATTCTATCTAGCAATTATGTAGCAATATTATTTACAAAATTAAAGGGAAATATAGTAAGTTCGTGTCACGGTGTGTTAATGCTTCTCGTGTTACGTTTTTGAATTACAGAGCGATACGAGTTTGAACTGATTTAGTTAAGTCAGTAGAAGGTATTCGAGAGTAATGGGCCGTGAAGTTAGACAAATTTTATATTTATTAAAATATTATTTTATATGATATAAAAATAAAGCGCACGACCTTATAGGACGACTTAATAATACTTTGTAATCCTACCACGTTTTTCTTTGCTATTTATTACTCATTAGTACTGCATAATTGATACATTAATAAATCTATCGATTTTATTATACTAATATGACAGCTGTTCTACTTATTTATTGAAGGTTGTTTTAGAACGAGAGTGAAAATTGATTTTATAAACTTACTATCACGAATACAGTGAATTTAGGTGTACTCACTGTGCTCACTTCATCCTTGATTAACTCCTTGCTTTATGATTTATTTCTTAACTATGACCGATACAACAAATTTATCAGTAATAATAATTTACTAGTAACAGAAAGAATTTTTATGTTTGATCTGCATCCATGTGAATCACTCCAAAGGTTAACGATTGATAATAGAAAAGTAATATTTAATTTATATGTAAATAAAATAGATAACACTTAGATTTCTTAAATTCAATTTAAAATTTTCATCACGAGTCTGACACGATATTGTGGGTCAAGGGGTTAACCTCCCCCATAAGCAATTAAATCCCCGCTAGCCAGCGTTGAGTTAGATTTAGACAAAGCTGTTGGATCATAATGTTAACATACTCTATCATTTACAAAAATTATAAATTTAATAAACTTCTGTTTTACATGAATGCTATTTCGTTAAAAAGATTTCCCTTACTTCATTCTGTTTCTACATAGAGTAAGATTATTTTTTATTTTCTCTTTCCAGATGAATATAACGACACAAATCGTGGCAGCCATAGAAACTGAACATACACTGGATAATACAAAATAATTTAGTAAGTAATATAGTAAATTACATAAGAATTGCAGTCTGTCATCGTGAAAAGTGACCAAACATGTACACAAAGTAATAAAACCCTTGCATCATAAATAACCTTATAATGTTTCATTTTACAAATCATTTAAAAATGACAATTTCAAGTGGAAGTTCCTTCTTCAGCCCTCGCTCTACACCATCGTGTCAGACTACTGGTGAAGATTTCAAATTGAATTTAACAAACATAAATATTATTCAATTTGTTTGAATGCAAATTACATATTATTCCTCTGTTATCTATGATTATACTTTAGAGTACACTTTGACATAGAATAAGACAGGAATTTTCTCTTGTTTTCAATTAATTATTAATAACAAACCAGTTCGCAGTTCAGAAAGAAATTTTAGGGCAAAGGGTTAAATCATAATTTTCCCCTTCACTTCAAAATTAGTTACTAAGAGGCGTTCAACGTTTTGCGAGAGGAAACCAGTGGACAATAAATTCTTCGTCATGGAAATCCGTTGGAAGTATCCTTCTTGTAAGGAAGCTTTGATACACGGATTGGGGAACGGACGAAAAAAATACACAACCAATAAGTCTGCCACCATTCGCAACGGCACGGTTCTTGGAATCGCGTCATTGGTCGTGTTACCCTTAGGCATGACAATTTCAACATTGTCGCGAGATCCCCGCTGTGTTCGAGGCACATAACTTTTCGCCCCCTTAGGGAAATAGTGACAGTACAGCACAGTAGATAAGTAATCAATACCGCACTGAATGTGTGCCATACCATGGACAATTCATCCATTTTTTATACACCAATCTGTACCATACTAATGTGCATTAATGTCTATATCATATACCAATTTAGTGTGCATTAATGTCTATATCATATACCAATTCAAAATTAATAACGTAAAAATAATAATTTTCATAATTAATATTCTTCCGTCAAATATAGCTGTAACGCCTGACTATTCAGAAATTGTGTATATTGTCACTAATAGTTTAACATTTTTTACAAACTGAACGGACATTAAGAAAATTAAGTTCAAATAATTACAAATTTTAGCAATAGCAATTCAACATTTAAAAAATATAGAAGCTAATTGTGGTGAAACCGGTTTATCCGATTTCCTTTGTTAGTTAAGTGGGCATTTATAATTGTGCCGTTAATTTTAAAAGTGAACCAGTTTTCTCAATTTCAATTGTACTAAGCTTCACCAGTTTTTATATGCAGAAATACAAATATATATGGTTCTTTATTTATATTACTTCGTTTATATAATTACAATTTTTTATTTATATCTAGCACTTTTATGTTGAATGTAAAAACATTTGAAACCTATATTTTCTTAGTGTGAATATAAATAATAAAAAAGGATAAAAATCCTAATGAAATAATGAGAGTAAAAATTACATTATTACGCACACAAGTCTTAAAAATGCACATTACATTATAATAAGTAGATTGATTTTTATACAATGTTTATTAATTAATTTGAAAAAGCAGGAGCTAGACATTCATTTCTAGTTTTATTAGCTTTACTGTTGGAATAATACCCAATATAAAAATTCTTTGTAGTTTCAGTCAGATTGTGCACCTTATTATGCTTTATTTATTCATAAATGTTACAATAAAATCATAGTAAAACTACAATCAAATTTACGGTCTAAGAATAAAAATAACAAAAAGTTCTTGTAAAAATTCCATTAAACGGCTTTATATTTGTGGGTAGTATTATAGGTATATGCAATGTAAAACACATAGGATTTATGGAACCATTACCAGAAATCACTGATTATGTATGAGTTCTAACATACAATAATTTAAAACTTGCAACGATGAAAGTTTCATAATTAACTTTAACTGCCGTTTTTCATGCAATTTCTTATAACTATATTTTCAAGAAGTACTCTACTTTGCTGTACTCCTATTTCTTGCCTCAATTTACTTTGCACACAAGTATCTAATAACACGTATCGTATAACACGGAAGAGTATTCCGCAAATATTGTATGTAGTATATTACATTTATCTAATGCTTTAGTATTCAGAATTTTTTGTAGTGTATTACATCATTCTTTTAGAAATATTAATAAATAATATTAATATGATATATCTATTATTGTTATCCATGTGAAAATATACTTAAAATATTAACAATATTAAAGGATGTATTATATTTATTTTAGGACACTTACTATGACTCTTACTATGACTAAATCTTCTATAACTGATTGTTTTTATCAAAATATCTACTATGACGCGAAGCTCTCATGAATTCCAAATATCCATATACCTAGCATTTATTTCTGCACTTGAAAGTTAATAAAAGTTTTATTTTCACCCCAAAGAATACATTTTAAATTGTTCAGTGAATAATCAATGACTACTTGAATGAAGAATTGTTCTTCAGATTTGAAATATATACAAAACTCCTTGTTTTCGTACGAATTCAACCTACATAACTGGCGATGGAATTATACGTTAAAGTGATATTTCCTGTACTGTATGGTGTACTGAATTTTATAATCTTGTTTGCAATGTATCTTTAAGACAATTCTTTAAGACAATTTCTTGAGATAATTAAAGTACACATAAAAAAATATAGACATCAAACCCCTTCAACTTAAATAATGCTTAGAACTTGTAGTCTTGAATGTCCGGACATTACTATTTTTATTGATTTTAGACCTGATTCAAATTCGCAATTCGTAAACCAACACGATATATCAATGATATTGAATGACTTTTATTTCTTGTGGCAGCACAAGTATATTTAACACGAATTAATGACAATTACACATTTAAATAGAAATTTTTTTTAAAAGTACTATTTCATTATTTTATTTAATTCGACATATGTTATTAAGTACAAAATAGTCGATCAATTACATATATAATTTATAAATGATATACGAAAATTGTATTGAACAGTTATATCTGTTAAAAATGTGTATGAAATCGGGGTGATTGTATACCTTCAGAATGATTCTTGGCAAAATGCAATGCTACATATATGTATTTATTTGTGTTTAATGTGCATTTTTAATAATTGGTATATTTATTTTTATATTCTGCTTTATGGGAATATAAATCTGTCGAAATTTTCAATCGCAGTAATAGATTCATTGAATTATTCGCAGTGAGACTATTGACTACAGAGGCCAAATTTCATGTCCGCGAATAACAGTGTTTCCTATACACTATATAGTACGCGTGGGGCCGATAATTGAACAGCTCAATGTCAGAGAGATGTCAATCAATACAGGTATATACCATATTGTTTAATTATAGCATACCTAAAGAGAAGATTATCTAAGTAATAGATCTACTTATACTTTTTCCGTGAAAAAATACAACAAATCATATAATGAATTGTTTCTATATATATTTTATTTCTACACTTCCAGAGAAAGAGATACCACACGTGTGCTATCCTTAATTTCTGGCGTTATAATTATGGCCTACGGAAAGTGCAAATGATACATAAAGACTACCGTCTACTAGTATATACACATAACTTTTATTGACTTTTCTTCAACCGATTTTTCTTAGTAAAAATAGAAATAACCAAATAAATACAGACAAAATGATAGCACGTCTGATAAATATTCCGTATTATATAAATTTAAAATTAACAAATATGAGAATGATATAACTGTACCTGTGTTTAACAATATGTGGAACCTTCGTGGTTCACAATTACTTCTATCATACTTTTTAGTAGGATTTATACAATACTTTAATTGAAGATTGTGATAAATTTTTCCATTCCTCTTTAATACAGATTTTTAAATCATTAAATTTTCAAATTATCTACCTTCTGCGTAGATAGCTTTTGATAATAATCCCCAACAGTTCTCAATTACATTGAGGTCCGGGGAGACATTTAGATATCTTTGTCTTATATAAAAGAAAAGAAACTACTTTATAATAAATAAATTGCTTACGACCTTTAAGAATCAAAACATGAAGTGACCGAAACTTCGGTATTTCTTCATGACATTTCGATATCAATTAGTAATACGTAATACTGGTATAACAATATGAAAAGTAATAAGAAAATATAATTCTGAAGACGCCGATGGAATCATTCGATCACTGACGGAATTCTATTACTGTAAGAAGGAGTACTTATGTAAATCATATTGAAGAAAATGAAATTGAACGTCATATAATCCGGTAGGATTTTAACTTTAACTATTATCATTTTTATTGCAAGCTTGACTATCTAGTGCGAGTTATATATTCTCTAAAAATTGTTTTAAGTTTTCCTTGTTCCTTATATGCTAATGAAACTATTATTAGTTTAACAGATGCAGGCTCTGTTACATTTAAATACTCTCATTACCCAAAAATATATTTGTTTAGACACAGTCTATAAGAAATGGTTAATTTATTATATTATGCTTCAGATAAACGAAATTAATAACAAAACTACTATTAATTAATACATTTATTACCAATGTGACATATTTATGATAACCAATGTATATCATTTGACGTAAATAAAATCGAACTATTTTGACGTACTTTTTATCTAGTAAAATTTCTTGAATTTCATTTGTTTTATATGTTTATTTATTAGTTAAATTATACTTATTTTCATTTATATATACATTCAAATAAATATATTGAAAAATAGTGCATTCTATTAATTAATGTTACAGAAAACTCTAATAAATGTTTCAGTTTATTGTCTTCAATTCGCAAGTTTCTCATCACTAATGGGTAAAATAAATATTAACCCTTCGCGGACAAAGATTTTTATAGTATGCAAAACATTCGTCATAAGAAGATAGGTATATAATACATCAAACTTTTAAATAGATAAAAAGAAAACGATATGTTAATATGTTGTTATTTAAAAACTATGTTATTTATTTACAACATTCTATTCTTCTATTAGAGCGTAAAGTTGTTAATAATCCATAAAAAGAATTCGAAATTACAAAAAATTTCATAAAACATCCTAAGTGTTTCAAAGTTTAGCACCACACGTAGCGAAAATA